GATTTAAATTCCAACGAGAAACCACGCCACAACACGAAATTTCACTCGAAAGCACAATACTTGATATTGTCTTTCTTTTACCCAAAATTTGGACTACTTTTGTGCTGACTCGGCAAATCTATCGATCGATTCTTTATACTGAATAATTTTGTACCATATATGTAAAAAGGTGTCCTGGGGGGATGGGTATCACACTAATTGAAATCATACACTAATTTGACATTGATGACGGTTTCCTGCAACCTGATTGGCTAAATCCATAATCCACTCTTGTGTACTTTATTTGGTTGTGTCGATTCATTCTCCATGTCGCTCCAGTTTAGAATAAACGCATAAACAATACAAGGGCCAGCGATGGACTAAGCTTTCACATGGCATTGGATGTGGGACAGTGTCACAATTCGATCTGGATATTTAGCATCTAGTACAGCTGTCTGTGACAAGTATGTATATCGGCCAATGCTTCAGATTCAAATGTGTACAGTTTGCCATCACCCATCACCATGGTTTGTGAGATAGACATATTGGAATGTGGTTGTATGCATTTGAATGTTCACGGTAGTAAGCCTAACATTAACATATTTGTGTGACTGAGGTAGCCCCCAAATATCTTTTTGGACGCGGAGGGCACGGTCAAGCTGGGGGACTTTGGGCTTGCTACGAAACCGCCCAAGGATGTCCGGGAAGGGTCACACGACGACGACGACGACGACGCGATCTTGGACCACGTTCCGTCGTTGAACGTGAACCACTTGACTGACATTCCAACGTACGAAAGCATTTCCCGCGACCAAGCCGTGGACGACGACCACGACGGGGGCGTGCAGGACCTGACGGTCTCGTACGAGAGCTTGAACATCACCGCGGGCGTGGGCACGGCGTTCTACCGCGCCCCCGAGCAGGAAAAGGAGGGCCAGCGGTACAACCAGAAGGCAGACATGTTTTCTCTGGGGATTTTGTTTTTCGAAATGTGGTCGCCGCCGTTTACAACGTTGATGGAGCGCGCAGAGGCGTTGATGGATCTGCGACAGCGTAACCAGTGCCCGAGTCAGTGGAAGGCGCCGGCCAACGTCCAGACAATTGTCCACTGGCTGTGCGCGCCCAACCCGAGCAACCGGCCGTCCGCGGCGGAGCTCCTCGCGTCCAACTTGTTGCCGCCCAAGATGGAAGTCGAGGAAAAGTACCTCAAGGAAGCGCTGCAGACGCTGGCCAACCCCAAGGGCCACTTCTTCGGGCAAATGATGCAGGCGCTGTTTGTGCAAGAACCAGTGGACCACGTCGATTACACGTTTGACGGTGTGCACAAGCACAAGGCCATGGCACTGTATGCCGAAGGTCATGGCCGAGTGTTTGTCCAGCGGCATCTTCAGGTTTGTATCTGTGACAGAGCAAAAATGTGTGTGACATGGGGGTGGCGTACTACTTGATGGTATTTGGGTGTGTTTGGACGGTATATATGATGTATGTGTATTGTTGTGGTTGGAACGAGCGAGTTCTCTTGCGTTAGAACGATAAAACAACGATCGATGTTCTAAATTCTCTGTAAAATTCCAAAATTGGCCTGGTGTGTCTAACCAATATTGAATCACGCCGGAGTTTTCTGATTGGTTGAATATATATACTTGCCCTTCCTGTAAGAGCCAATCAAATCCACTCAAAATTGGACTAGCCAATACTAGCGTCGATTCGTGATTTGATTCGACGGGGTCTGGAAATTTGTACCGAATATACCTCAATAGCATTGATATATTATATTTAGTGCCTTTCAAATCGAATGTATTATTGTTGTGATCACACGTTGGCAGTATGCGTTTAGTGACTTGTCGAATCAAATCGTGGATAAATTCGTTAAAATCTGAATAATCGATTTACCCAATCGGTCGCAGGATTGTTTTTCTTTACATGGAGTAATTTGCAGAGTTTCAAGTTGATTCGAGTAGTGACGGTCGCATTCTTGCCGACAATGCTGAGTATTTTGAAGCTGGTTCGTGAGCTACACCTTCCTCACGTGTCATTATGTAGGCCGTGTTCGAACAGCACGGGGCGGTGGAGCTGACGACGCCGTTGCTGATGCCCAAGCGTGCCAGCTGTGCGTTGCATGTCAACCGATGCGCTTTGCTCGACGCGGCGGGGGTCACGGTCATGCTTCCGTTCGACTTTACCGAGCCGTTGGCGCGGTTCCTCGCGCGCAACAACGTGTCGCAGCTAAAACGGTTCCATTTCGGCCGCGTGTTTCGGAAAAACGTGAGCGGCGGGCACCCGCGGGAGATCTTCGAAGCCGATTTTGACTTGGTCTGGGACGAAAAGCACACTGGCCGCGTGATGGAGCTCGAGGTGCTGCACGTGGTCCGGCAATCGCTCGAGTCAGTGGGACTGCTCGGCACGTCCTACGTCCGGCTAAGCGACGCCCGGCTGTCCCGCGGCATGCTCGACCTGTGCGACGTCCCCCTAGCAACACGCCGGGATGTTCTCAAATGGCTCTCTCAGGTAAACATCCATCCATATGGCATCACCGCTCCCGACATGCATTCGCGTTTTCTATGTCAATATATTGTCATTTTACCCAAAATTTAGTCTTTTGTGCGGATTTGCCAAATCTATCGATCGATTATTCGTTGTCGTGACTTTTGTATGTAAAGATCGTTCAGTATCACACTAATTTCAATCACACACGCATTCGATGTTGATTTGGTCAAAGAGTGAATTTGATTGGCCACTGGATTCGTGTTCTGGGTTTTGATTGGTTGATCGATTGTCTGCCGATTTGGTTAAACTATAGAGCAGCCCACTCCAATTTCGAATAATCAACTTGACAATATCACAAGGGTGATGATATACTGTTTTTAATTGGAGATATTATGAGTATATTTATTGTCTCGTCCGTATCACATTGTAGCATTTTCAAGCATGACAAAACATATATACATGTATACAATCGAGTGGCGACACTGTGGAGGAGGCGTCAGTCCTTGCACCAATCAATCCCGTCTCTACTTGCTACTAAATTCACGTTGATATGTCCATGTTTATTGATATCGACATGTTTCTGACATACCACTTGTAGGAGTCCAACTTGCCGTCCGTGCCCACAAGTCGGTGGAAGTTTGTCGTACGCAAGATGGCGGACGTGTCCATCTCGGACGCGTCGTGCGATCTGCTCAAGCACTTTTTCCACCTGCCGCCAGACCCGCTGGCCGCGCTGGCGTCGATCGAGTCGTTTCTCGTGCTCACAATGAACCAGTTGGGCCACCATGACTTTGCCACGTCATCCGACGCGTTTACATCGAACAAGACAAAACGCGAACAAAAGCGCGACGCACAGCTAAAGAAATCCATCCACGACGCCCTTCTGGGGCTGCAAAACCTCCGCGCATTGTTTGTTGACCTCAAAAGTGCCGTGGCACTTCGATTGGACCTGGGGCTGCGCCAGGAAGCGTACACGTCTGGCCTCATGTTTCAAGTCGTCAACAACCAGAACGAAATCATGGCCGAAGGCGGGCGGTACGACGCCCTCGTGGTCAAATACAGGTACAACATATATTCTATTTTTGAGGATATTGTTGACTGATTTCAGCCAACTTTTGGGTTTTGCAACCAGGAAGGATAAGACACGTTGCATGTCTTTTTTCGTATTGTCCATTTACTCAAAATTTGGACTACTTTTGTGCTGAATCGCCAAAACTATCGATCGATTCTTTGTTACTGAATTTTATATGTATTTAAAAAGGTGATTGGTATCACAGTAATTGAAGTCATACACTAATTTCACGTTGATGATGGTTTCCTGCAATGTGATTGGCTAAATCCTTCCGCCGATTCTTCTGTACATTTATTTGGTTCTCCATGTCGCTCCAGTTTAGAATAAACACATAAACAATATAAAAGAATACAACAACTGCAAAGTGCGCTTTAGAATATTTGAAGGTTTATACATGTATGACGTACTGGACCAAGTTTTTGATTCGTTTTTAATAGACTCCCCGCGGCAAGGATTCAGCTGCCGACGGTGCGCGCGGTGGGGGTCCGCTTCTCGGTGGATCGCATGGTGAGCTGTCTGGCGCGGCCACAAGTCGAATCCCCTCTGATTTTGGTCTGCTCGGACCCGGCCATGCTGCACTCGCGGCTCGAAGTGGCCACGTTGCTGTGGCAAAGCGGACTCACGGCCGAGTTCTGGCACCCCGATACCAAGGACTTGGAGGAGTACTGCACCATGATTGGCGCGCACTGGATGGTGTTGGTCAAGAAGCACCTGTTGACGGAAAAACGAGCTGTAAAAGTGCGTTCGATCAAGCACTACGACGGCGACGTGACGGTGCCAATCACGTCGCTCGCGTACTTTTTCTCCGAGCACCATCCGTCGTCTTCGTCGGGGCTGCATCGTCCGCGGAGTGGCTCCATGGCAACGTCGCTGTCGTGTGCGGGAGGGGCCAGTAGCGGCGGCGGTGGCGGTGGCGGCGGAAGTGCCGATATGAAGAACGGCGGCTTCGACAAGGACGCGCCGACGGTCAAATTGAACGTCAAAGTGGTGGACCCAAAGCAGAACCAAAAGGACAAGCACCGGCAAAAGCAAGACGTCGGCCACGTCGAGCGCCAAGTGTCCAAGTGGCTGTCGTCATTTTTGCTGCCGAATGCGTCGCATGAACCGACCAAGGTGCTGTCAGTGGACGTGCCGTTTGCGGTCCTACGAGACTTTGGCAGTCGGTTCATGGAGGACCGAGGGACGGCGGTGGACGTAGTAGGGAACACGCGGTTTAAAAAGGTGCTCAAACTCGTCGTGGACGAAATCGCCGAGCTCGAAGGCGCAGACTACTGGCGAGGCAAGCGGGAAAAGTACGTGCTGCTCCACAGCAGTTGCGACGATCGGTACGATATGCTGTCGATCACAGAGCTATCGTCCAAGAATCACCACCATAATCGAAGATAGAGTTGATCGACCAGGGCAGTAGTAATACACGTAAATCGATCAATACAAGGACTTTCGCGTTGTGGGGACACCGACTATGATTGTCGACGCATGTTGTTTTGTGCTTTGTGCTGGACATCCACACGCAGTCGACTCAAAAGCAACATTCGATTCCATTGATGACATGGACGCAGGGTAGTAGTATCAAATTCGACGATGGGCCCATATATTCCACCGGTTGCTTATTTACTTGGACTAATTCGTCGCGATGGACGGTGCTGCTGCGTCGCACCAGCCACATCATAGGCGTCGATGTCCACATAGAAGTTTCAGGTGGCGCGCTAGGTGCTGGGTTCGATTGGACACCTATTGCCCTTTGATTTCTGACGAAAGCCTAAACACGACTAAAATCTATTTTTAGGTGTCACATGTTGAATCGTAACCGGTCGATTATTCGGTTCTGTGAACGACATCCCACGAGTGTATACATGCAGGAATGGGTCGTCCTGCTGGCAATCGAAGTAAATGAACGCTAAGATGAAGCGATTCAAGCCGATTATATAATCAGAAGAATGCCCAACCTTTCAGCTTCACACAGCACTTTTCAGAATTGAAATCCCGGTCCTGAGAGACGAATAAGGTGCATTCTCTACGTCGAGGTCTCGTTCAAGTGCACCATAAATTGGTCATTTACGTTATTGATAAGTTAGTTCTACTTGTACTTCAAATCGATTGATTGGCTATTAATAGCGGGTTTTACAGCCCCACGACACCAGTTTTGTGGTTGCGGCTGTGATTGGGTACCCAAGGGCCGTGGGCGGGTGGATGGATGCCCATTGGGTGTTTGCAACGTATGCACCACAGCATGTGATTGGTTGGATCTTCTCCAGGTCGTGCGTCCAGCAGGGCGATTCGTGTTGACTCAGCAAGCAGTCTTCGACGTTATCGGATTTATCCGTCGTCTCCTGTGATCTCCACTTGGAGAGACGGCAACATTTCGGTAACTAATCTTCGTCACACGTCCATGTGCCTTGAAATATCGCGCCATACTGAATTACCACACAAGTTCTTTTTGTGGGGGATTCGAAAGATACCACCCAGATTGGTTTAGCTCAATTTGTAGCCAATCAAGATCTGGCTTGCAATATATACTGGTATAATTCAAAACGTAGGCACCAACCACTCTCGAGTAAAAACAATCGAAATTCGAACGTCAAAAGATCGCGACGTGTGCTGCGGGCCACTCCAGTGGCTCGAATCAGAATCTCCCAAGGCCATTGGTCCACAACTTTGCGTTCAGCCGACAATCCACGAATCCGACGCTCGGATCTATGTGCACTTGCGACAGCATAACCGCCCCAAAACACACAAATCCGCCATACACTACGTGGCATTCCACATTTTGAAGGTGCGAGATTAAGCTGCGATGTTGCCCTTCTTGGCCTTGACTGCAGTATTGTCGTGGATACTTCCGACGGATGGCCAAACGACCGACCCCCCTCTCCCTACCTCGGGCGAAAAGCTCTTTGATGCATGGAAACCATTCTCGACACCCCTCGTGATCCCCGAAGTGATCGACATGCGCAAGGGGGGCAGCCTCGACATGAACATTGGCGAAACCCGCCACGCGTGGGGCTCCGGCGCGCCCACAGCGGCCACCTACGGCTACGGCAAAGTGGGCGGCAACATCACCACGCCTGGCCCAACCATCCTCGTCAAGAAAGGCGTGCCCATCACCGTCACCTGGTACAACGCGATTAAATCGTCCAAGCACTTGTTGGACATGAACGTGGAAACGACGCTGACGATCCGCGAGTCGTCGTGCTACCCCCACTGCGGCGTGCCGGTGATCACACACGTCCACGGGTTAGAAACTCCCGCCCAGTACGACGGACTGCCGCACTTTTCAATCTACCGCAACCAGAGCTACATCGCTCGGTATAACAACACCCAATCAGGGTCGACCAAGATGTACCACGACCACGCCATCGGCCTCGGTCGGTTGAACATGTGGGCGGGGCTCGCGGGGCTGTACGTCATCCAAGACGACGAGGTGGAGACGGCGTACAAGCTCAACAACTTGGTGGACATTCCGCTGATCTTCCAGGACAAGATCATCGCCCCCGACGGCACCCTCGTGTACTCGAGCGTGAGCGTGTGCCAGACCGAGGGCACCAAGTGGGTGTCGGAGGCGTTTGGGGCCGTGAACACGGTCAACGGCGTCATCATGCCGTACGTGGACATCCCCGCTGGCCAAGTGCGCCTGCGTATGGCCAACATGGCCAACGCCCGCAACTACAACTTCACGCTGCCGTTTGCGGACCAGTGCCAGCTGATTGCGACAGACTCTGGGTTTGTATCGGAGGTCAAGCCCGTGGCCAAGACCGGGTTCAAGCTGTACTCGCTGGAGCGCGTCGAGTTGGTGTGCGACTTCACCGACACCAAGGTGGGCACAACATACGACTTGGAAGACTCGACCGAGATCGAGTCGTCGTACTCGTACGACCCGCGGTTGCTGCAGGTGCGCATCGTCGCCCCCAAGGAGAACGCCCCGGCCAAGGTGGAGCTGCCCAAGAAGATGACTGCGTTGAAGGACCTGGAGGCGCTGTACAAGTCGACCAAGGGCAAGCTGCGAACCATCACGCTGGGCGAGATGGAAGGGGACAACAAATGCCCCGTGCAGCTCATGATCGTGCAGCACCAGATGGTGGCCAACGTGTCGACGATCCAAAACAAACTCAAGTGCACGCTGGGCAAGGTGGAAAAGTGGCAGTTCAAAAACCCCACCGACGACGCGCATCCGTTCCACTGGCACTTGGTGAACGCGCAGTGCGGCCCCGACGACAAGTCGATCGACAAGAACGCGCTCAAGGACGTGGTGGTGATCCCGAACGCCCGGCAGTCCCAGAACATCACGCAAGTGTGCTACGTGGCGTGCGTGCCGGACCAGTTCCTCGTCGAAGGCAGCACGGTGGGCCCCACTGAGTACGGGTTCAACACGGACGAGCCGTACTTGGCCCATTGCCACATCATGGAGCACGAAGAGAACTCGATGATGTCGTGGTTCCAGCTGACCAAAGAAGACGACGCCGAGCCTGTGGACGACGGATCGGTGCCGGATTTGAACCCCCAAGTGACGTCGGAAGTGATTTGGTGTGCGCTGGGCATGAGTGTGGTGGGGGGACTCGCCACATGCTTGTCGGTGCTGGTGCTTTCGATCAAACGGCTGAATTTCTTGGCGGGGGACACGGCCATGGCCGTCACGTTTGCCTTGTCCGCGGGGGTGATGTTATTCATTTCGCTGGTCGACTTGTTCTTGGAAGCCCTGGAGAAGTTTAACAATGCGTTTGCTGTGGGGGGCACCGTGGATTTGGAAGCGATCGAGCACGGGCTGGCGCCGGCGGGCGCTGTGGCGCCGATATGCAACGAGAACTGCCACGGCAAGGCGTACTTGGCGGTGGTCGGGTGTTTCTTTGGCGGAGTGCTCATCATTGT